AGTAGTCATGCTCACTAAAATGTCCAGATTGTGGCGGCGTGGTGGGCCGGGTCATTGGGCTCCCTAAAATCTGGTCGGGCGCATTGATGGCTGGCTCATCCGTCATACTCATGAACGGGTGCTGCTTGTAGGGACTGGTCTGCTCTAATCACTACGACTAATTTCCTCTTATTAATTGTTTATCCAGTTGGTTATATATTCAATATTTTTTCTAATTAAATAGTATTTCCCTAAATGCATATAAAACTATATACAGTACTTATATCGGAATATTTGTACGAGACATAAAAACTTTTTTGTATTTATTTGTTTTAAGAATAAAAAATATTGTTAGAGATGTGAAAATTCCATCATGGCGTTTTATTTATCTCCACAAATTTTCAACTATGATTTATACAATATTAATTTTAAAAATGTCTGTTAAATGTCGGCTGAACTGATTGTGATGGGAGTTTCACTCGCATATAGCTAATGTTGCAAGGAATATTTTTATTATAAAAACGTTTTTATTTTACGTAATCGCGGGTTATAGGTATATTATAGTTATAGTAGACGTACATAATACATTCTTTGTTTGCAAAGTAGTCTCTTACGACATTTTGGGTTTGAGGAAAGTTTATTTACTATCTAATAATATTACGTATACGTATGTATGTCTGCTATTACATATTATTTGCACTAATTAGCAAATATTTGAAATTAAAGCGAACCAAGGTATTTAAGAATACCATTCGTTTTATGTAATTTCCATTTGACTCAGATTGATTTGTATTAGACTATTTACTATATTGTATTATACTAGCTTTTACCCGCGGCTTCGCTCGCATTGATACAAAAATATTTGTTTTTTTTTAATAAAAAGTCTCCTATGTTCATTATAATGTCTCCAAGAACATGTAAAATAGTAAAATATCATGATAATCGGTTTACTAGTTTTTGCGTAACAAACATCCCTACTTTCACATTAACAATATTATTAAGGACTAGCTGTACACGCAACTTCGTCCACGTGGAGTTTAAGTTTATTTTTCTATAAAAAAAAAACATCTAATATAAAGGTAGCCTAAATTACTTCTTTTTACATCAGCTTCCTGCCAATAAAAGTCCCATCGAAATCGGTCCAGCTATTTCAGAGATTAGCCGGAACAGACAGACAGACAAACAAAAATTGTAAAAAATATTATTTTGGTGTTTGTACCGTATTTATATTCATATGCATGTAGTAAAAAACGGTTACTTCCATATTACAAACAGACACTCCAATTTTATTTATATGTATAGATTAATACATGCAGCAACAACTTTGTGCCCATTTTTACGAAAATTGCGCCGGCGCACAGGAACTCAAAAAGCCATCTCATAAATACTTTTTCTAAAACTCCGTGTATATATAATACCTCAACTTGTAGCCAAAGAGTTACTCTATCATTATAAATATGATTCAAATCTCTGACTATTCATACTTCATAGAATAGAGCCTTAAAGTCAATATAATGAAAAAAATACATAAATAATTTTGTAACTTAAATTTGTTTGGTATAAGTTTATAGTATCAAAACAATATCAAGTGATATAGTGTGATACCATTTTAGAATGCTTAGAATGTGTACTTTACTATAAAATAAAAATATATCTAGTTTAGTCGAATATTATTTAACTAAAAATCCATATATCGTTATATGTACTATTTTCTTTTCTCAGACTTTCACTTGGAGATTTGACAGTTGCCGAAGCTTGCCGAAGTTCTAAATTTGGTTTTATTAATTAGGAAATATAATTTAATTTGATGGCATAATATTTTTTTTTGCAGTTTCACTGCGTAAAATATTTAAATCGAGTATAATATCATGGTGAGATTTGTTTTTTCTAAGTACGTATATTAAGATTTTCTTGTTTATTTAAGATTTTCTGTCTGAATACTCAAAAAATGCTTTTTGCTCAATTATTACTGTATATTTTATCTTTTGCCTTACTTTTATTAACTATTTCACATAGTATATAGTTCCCATTCCCATACAGACCTATTCTATACCGCATATAGATAAATATTTTTTATCAAGTAATTTTGCACACGTATATGATCATTATCAAGTATAACATAGTGTATGTATTTGCATATGAAATATTACAGTTCTTCATAAGCATTTGTCATTACTAAACAATTGTTAATTACTCATCTCGCCCCAATGAGTGAATTCTCGTGTACCAGAAGTGACTTAAGTCTCTTATTGATTTAAAGTGATACAAATTATCTTGATTCTATCTCAAACTATATACGAAATAATTTTACCGAATCTTCAGATGCCAATATAGCAAAAATTATCGCAAGTATTCAGAAGTCCTTCATAACTCAGTTTCGTCAACACTATACGAAATGTGGTCGAAAGAAAGAACAGTTTTTAAATAAAATAGCAATTGATAGAATGGTATTTTCACTGTAAATCTAGAAAAAACTACATGCGAACCTGAACCTCCTACTTCGACAGAGAAAAGAGGAAGACCTTCTAAAACGTACGAAGACAGTTCGGACAAAGAAACGGAAAAACAAGGGATTGCTTGATACCTGTGGACTTCATACTTCATCATTCATACTGAACTTATAAGTACAGGGTTTAAGGGTTTCATCGTTGATATTTTACGAGCATTGCCGGCAGAAAACTAGAATGAATTGAGCAATCTTAATGAGTAATCTTATTAATGAACCGGCACATATAACAGCATATTCAAAACATTAAGCTCTTAGCATTTTCATAAAATTGGATCTGAACAAGGCACAGTACGAAAACATGAGGAGTTGTTTGATAGCAACACTAATGACGGCAATACAGCCAGAAGATTTTTCCAAAATTATCATTGTACATTAAAAATCACTGGTATAGATGAGGAATTAATAAAACTGTTTTATGTTATGAAATGAAATGTGAACGTGTGATACGTCACTGTCTTGCCTCTCGGGCAACTTTCAGAAGATGCTCAAGAGTCACGGAACAAAGACTATAAACAGTACAGGCTTCATCATGCAAGACAATATTCGAGGGTAGCCACTAACGAAGATGTTCTACACGCATTTTTATATAGCTCTGACCCATACATAACAAGTTTAAGAAAACCTTCCAATAAAAAATATTTAGTACTTTTTGATGAAGCAAAGGAGCTCTTGAGTGACTTGTAAGCCATCTTTATAAGAATTTTTGTTTTTTACGTAGATACTTTTACTTATTTCTGTATAAACTTCTTAGGACATAAATGTAAGTCTACAAATTCTATATTTCTTGTATTCCTACATTATTTATAACTATTAGAAATATTTTTTTACTCACAAAGCATACATTATTTAAAAGTATATATATTTAAGATTATCAGGAAAAAAAATCATGTACATATCTTTATTAATACAGAAGTTATAGATTTATGAGATGAAAATGAGTCAAAGTTCCCACTGTGCAATTCAAATTCCCTACACTTTTAGTTTATATAGAGAAGAATGCAAAAGGATAATATTTTTTAAATTATGCTTAAAAATATATTGAATCAATTAAAAAAAAAAAACCTTACACACACTAGATACCATCATATGTACACTTTTGTTTGTCGTTATAGTCTGTGGTCAAATTGTGAATTGATTAATATTGTTTGTCTTTAATATTATTTGTCTATAGTCTCATCATCATCTGCTTCTTCCTTATCCCATTTATTTGTGGTCGTCGTAATATGTTTTTCGCTTCCATTCATCCCTGTTCGCAGTCATCTCGTTATTTACTCCCTTTCTTACCATATCATCTTTCACACAGTCCATCCATCTCTCTTTCGGCCTTCCTCTGCCCTTATAACCATCCACATTCATATGTAACACCTTTCTTAAAATATTATCCTCGTTCCTGAGAGAGAAGATAATACTGAATGTTAAATAAGGGTCGAATTATTATTAAATAATCTTAAATATTAACACTGGACAATTAACACAGCGCCATCTAGTCCCATGGTAAGCAGAGCTTGTGTTATGGGTACTATACAACTGATACAAGTCCTTACACATTTGTTTTGTAAATACATACATAATATACATAGAAAATACTCAGACCGATACAAACGACCATACTCATGAATATAAACGTTTGTACCGTGCGAGGAATCGAACTCGTAACCGTAGTAAAGCGGTGTAAACCGCTAGACCACTTAAGCTGTCGAAACGTCCATTTTGTAAATGAATATATTTTGTTTATTGTTACAATTGTGATCAATTTGAGAATAGATTAATATTGTTTGTCAATACTCTTAGTGATAGTTAAATTAACTATGGTCAAAATTCTACCACAGGTCGATTATTTATCATCCATTTACAAAAATTTGATGGATCGTCAGCAAGTTCTTTTATCTGAGTATATTTGCGATCAGTCCTAAGAATATGAGAGAATCTTTCCTGTGATGCTGTCATGTAGACTGGCTTCCCATTAGATACTTCTTCTATTCAGCATCCTAGAGCTACTGCCGTCATTTCAAATCTTTATCTGTAATTTCCTTTTTCTTATATATATCTATGCATATAAATAAAATTGGAGTGTCTGTTTGTAATATTGAAATAACCGTTTTTTACTACATGCATATGAATATGTATACGGAACATACACCAAAATAACAGTTTTTATAATTTTTATCTGTCTGGCTGTCGTTCTGTTTGTTCCGGCTAATCTCTGAAATGGCTGAACCGATTTTGATGGGACTTTTTTTGGCAGGTAACTGATGTAATAAGGAGTAACTTAGGCTACTTTTATTTTAGAAAATAAAAAGTATAAAAATAAATTCCACGCGGACGAAGTCGCGGGAACAGCTAGTTATTCATAAAGTCCATTAAAAAAGTCGCAAGCATGTAAATTACGTGGAAGACCCAAGAATTTCGAATGTACACACCAAATGTGTTTGTCTGTCTGTCTTTAACTTCCGATTGCAGTGTCTTGCTCAACTGCGCCTGTTGTACCAGCGTGCAGACATCAGTTCGGTATCGGAGCAGTCGGTAAACGGTTGCTATAATGCGGTGCTTGTGTCTTGTGTTGTTTGTGAATGTTGTATTCGCGTTGAATTCAACTAACGAAGGTGAGGCGTTTTTTGTATAAATAAATGGATACTATACATAGACCTACCGTATAAAGTATACCTATATGTTAATAGAGCTACCGTATATAGTATATACCCTACTTAAAATGCCATCAGGCATTAAGTCCATCATGTGTACATTTTTGTGTGCAAAAGAATAAATAAATATATATATATATAATTAAATAAAAAATAAATAAATAAATAAACAAATAAATAAATAAATAAAAAATACCAATTAACATACCAAAATACCGTAACACTTTAAAGACATGCCCAACGGTGGGTCACAACGCAATGAAAGTAAATTTACACGTTGGGACTGGGTGATCTACCGGGTGAAATATATTTAGGGGTTAAATAATGTCTACCTCAAATTAATGTACGCTAAAAACATATTTAAAAAATAATATATGTAATTAACAATAAAAAAATATCGGTTCTTATGTGAGAAATTATATATTTCAGTGCGGTTTTAAACCTGTTAAAAAGTTATGAATGAGGTGTTTTATGTATAAATAAGTTGACACGATACATAGAGATACCATATAAAGTATATACTTTACTAAAAATAATAACGTTTTACGTACTATATGTTAATAGAGCTACCGTATAAAATATATACCCTACTAAAAAATATCAATTAACATACCTAAATACCGTAACACGTTAAAAACATGCCCAACGGTGGGTCACAACGCAATGAAAGTAAATTTACACGTTGGGGCCGGGTGATCACCGGTGGGCATTTTAATTTAAATACATTTAGGGTTATATAAAGTCTACCTCGAATTATTGTTACACTAAAAACATATTTAAAAAATTATATATGTAATTAACAATAAAAAAAATATCGGTTTTTATGTGAGAAATAAGATTTTTCGATATGGTCATCAACGTTTAAAAAAAAATTGATCTAAAGGTATTTTAATTGGCCAATGTTTGAGTATATCACCTTATATTTTTTTTATTAAATTAATTAAGTCTTGTTTATATTATTGTAAACTAACTGTGCCCATGGTTACACTCGCGTTAAATTTCAATAAAAAATATAGGATAAGCTACATTACTGTAAAGTTTCATCAAAATCCGTTCAGTAGTTTTTGCGGGAAAGAGTAACAAACATCCATACACACAAACTTTCGCGTTTATAATATTATTAAGTTTACCATTTAGCATAGGAATTTAATTAATAATATAGTTATTGATAATTATTATTGTAATTTAGGGTAGTGTGAAAAAAATTTAAAAACTTGGTGATATAACATAATGATAATGATCAATGACAATTGACGGCCTTGTGGTCTAGAGGTTCAGCTCACCGCTAGACTTCCGATGGTCGCGGGTTCGATTCCTCGCACGGTGCAAACAATTTGTAAACATGACTTTGACATCATTGTTTGTATCGGTTTGGGTGTTATAGGTGTATTTTATGTATGTATTTACAAAACATATATATCTAAGTATTTATATCAGTTGTCTAGTAACATACCCATAACACAAGTTTTATTTACTATTGGACTAGATGGCGCTGTATTATTTGTCCAAGGTTATTTATTATTTATTACTATTTATTATTATTCTTATTAATATATTTTATGTAGACTGTCAATGTATGTGTATCTCACTGCATTTTTCTGTATAATATTTAGTTATAGTCTAATTATTGATTATAGACCTTTTTAATTCGTGTTAAATTTAAACGAACGATTTGATAACATAGTTTTTAAGAATAGAATAGAATAGAATAGAAAATTCATTATTCAAATAAACATAATTTAAGCACTTTTAAATAATCACAGTTATCCTTCTTTTATTCTACCGTTCATTAGGAACGCTGTCTCATCACAAAAAGAACGAGCAAGAAACTTGGGTGTTGCTCTGTTTGAAATAATTTGAGACTTTTATTTTTAATCTTTCTAATATATAAAATGGATTTTATTACCTATATCTAGGCATAAACATAAGATTATATCAATATAATATTTATAGCGCTTTTTATTCTATTATATTTAATTTAATTTTGGTACATATTTTCATAGTTAGAAATTTGAAAATTTAACTTTTATTCTCTAACGGCTTAATTGTAGATGTAAATATATATATAAAACTGAGATGAGGTTGTTATCTATTTTGTATACCCTTAAGTGATAAAATTCAAAAAAATTCAAAATTCAAAAATCATTTATTCATGTAGGACATTTTAGTCGCTTATGAACATCAATATTTTTATATTACAATTTTATCCCTACCGTCCAGGTATATATCTATGATTAAGTTGTAATCTATTTTTATATACCCTTAAGTGATAAGGGTGGCCACCCCAATTTTCGGTTATGTTTTTGACAATTTGTTTATTCTTCTATTCAATTTATTTATTTAGTCCTACAGAATTTAGTATTTAGTCGCTTTATAAGTCCCTCCGCAGATTTAGAGTGCTACCTGCAATCAACCCCGCTCGCTTTTTTCAAAGTTCACTACCTAGGCCCGTCAGGGATAAGAATTAAAGGATATTCTTAGGACCAATGGTTTTTATCTCCTCAGGATAGAGTGTATATTTCCAAACCAGATATTACGTTTATTCATGAGTGGGCTACAACCACATAGGATGTCTATTGACCTCTTCAGTTTGGCAAAATCTGCAGATTTTTGTAGAAAACATACCATACAGCTATGTTTTTATTATTCATATTTTATTTGTCCGTATACTATCGTGACCTCAACCCTAATATTTTAATATAATAGAGTGTATTTCTCAATGGCCACACAAGGTCTTTTATAATATAACCACTAACCGCAATCAAAATCGTGTATATTTAGAATGATCATTATTTTTCTTAAACTCACTGATTTTTTTTTCGATAGTCGATTGTATCGATTTGGAAGACGGCATAATGACCATGGTGGTACAACAGTTTAGCACATTAGATAGTTCCTTCCAAATCGAGAGTTCTATTTTTTTTTTTTGACAATTCACACAGCGCCATCTAGTCCGAAGCTAAGCAGAGCTTGTGTTATGGGTACTAGACAACTGGTATAAATACATGGATACATTTTTTTTGTAAATAAATACATATTATACATAGAAAACATCCAGACCGATACAAACAATCATACTCATGAATACAAATGTTTGTACCGTGCGAGGAATCGAACCCACGACCATCGGATACTAAAGCATTGTGCTAAACCACTAGAACACCGAAACTGTCGACAATTTCCTGACAATACATTCTATTTGATTATATTCGTACGATTTAGTGTATGAGGAGTCATGGTTCTATAAAAGAGAAATTCAAAGAGGCAAATAATCTCCGTTGCTTATCAATATATATATATATATATATATACTCAAATATTCTATATATATGCAAAAATCTTAACTTAATTAAAAAGATATGCCGATATTCATAATGTAACGTTTGGAAAAATTCAATGGGTCTTTTAGGAATGGGTATAAAATTTTACGATAAGATACCGAAGGATATACTGGAATTACTTTAAGATCAATTTATAACATCTATATTGATCAAAGCCTATTACTCACTAAACGATTACTTAATAACAAACGTGACAAAGTTGTTCGTGTTTGTATCTAATTAAAAATAGATCATATTTTTAATGCATTTAAAATTAATAATATATCATAGACCTTGTTGATAGAAAGAAAAAAGTTTTTATTTATTATTTTAATTACAAATTGTAATCTATTTTTAATGCATTTAAAATCAATAAAATTAATAATAAATTATAGACCTTGTCGATAGAAATAAAAAGTTTTTATTTATTTTTAATTACAATTATTATGGCTTTTGTACAGAAAGATGTCTCATGTGCTAACAAATAATAATAACAAGATAAAACTAAATCGTATTGTACAAAGCACGACCTGGTATGATGTAATTTTGCCATTTGGTACAAAAATCTTAAGTAAAAGCAAACACTAGAGTAAGCAGTTCTGATGGGTTGGGCACAAAACCAGTTGGAAACCAGTATTTATTCGCAACCGCGCAAAGTTCAAATTACTTTCAATTTCGTTTACCTCACACGTGTTTATATGTGGTTCAGCGAGATGAACAGAATAGCAGTTCCATTCTTGTATCTAATCTCAATATCGATTTCAATTCAATCTAGACTTATACAGATCTGTTGCAATTAAGACTAAGCCGTCTAAATTAATAATAATAATATCTTAGCACAATACACACAACGGCATCTAGTCCCACGCTAAGCAGAGCTTGTGTTATGGGTACTAGACAACTTATATATGGATGCATATTTTTTTGTTATTTATAAATATATATATACATAGAAAACACCCAGACTGATACAAACACTATACAAATGTTTGTACTGTGCTAGGAATCGAACCCGCGACCATCGGATAGTAAAGCGATATGCTAATCCACTAGACCACTGAGGCAGCCAAAATGGATATTTATTTATATACTCCACAACCGTTCAACAACCATACAACAAGACGTAGAGAGCGGCTCCACCGCTCTGTACTATTACATGTACTGTTGACATCCCAGCTGCTGGAACCAACCGATTTACATCATTTTTCCTTATGCGAGCAGCTAAGGAGTGGAACTCTCGAACAGCGTCAGTCTTTCCTGCCTCTTACATCATTGGGTCTTTCAAATCAAGAGTGAATAGGCACTACTTGAACTTAGACCGCATCACTTAACATCAGGCGAGATTGCAGTAAAACACGCTAAAATTATGAAATAAAAAAAACGTGATGTTGTACCAAATATATTAACAGAGTAATAGGGTACACAGGGGGGTCTCTTTCAGACAACCTTTGGGTAGAGGAGAGAAAACAAAAAGCAAGTGGCGCTAGAATAGAATAGTATAAAAATCATAATAAGGGCAATAAACTTACATACATTATACAATATAAATTCAAATTCAAAAATCATTTATTCATGTAGAACATTTTAGCCGCTTATGAACGTCAAGTTTTTACATTATAATTTTTTTCCCTGCCGTCCAGT